TCAATAACATCCATCTTTTCTCTGATGCACTGCAGTGCACCTTCAGTGCATAGAGCAGCAAGGTCAGCACCAACATAACCATGAGTGTCCTTTGCAATCCTTTCTAGATCAACCTGGAGAACACACACACAAACATAATAATAAAAAAAAAAAAAAAAAACTCCAATTTAACCAGCAAGAAAAGAGATAACATGAAATGGAGAATTTCATTTACAATCAAATAATCTGAAGTAAAGTGCATAGGAATTGAACTCACATTATCAGAAAGCTTCATGTTCTTTGTGTGGATGCGAAGAACCTCAAGGCGACCCACTTCATCTGGAACACCAATATCAATCTCTCTATCAAACCTGCCAAACCTCCTCAAAGCAGGATCTATGCTATTTGGACGATTAGTAGCCCCAATAACAATAACATGGGCCCGAGATTTCAGTCCATCCATTAAAGTCAGAAGCTGTGAAACGATCCTCCTCTCAACTTCACCATGGGTCTTCTCCCTCTTTGGAGCAATTGAATCGAGCTCATCAATAAAGATGATGGATGGAGCATTTTTCTCAGCTTCTTCAAAAGCCTTCCTGAGGTTGCTTTCACTTTCTCCAGCCAATTTGGACATAATCTCAGGGCCATTAATACAGAAGAAGAATGCACCAGTTTCATTGGCAACAGCTCTGGCAATTAATGTCTTTCCAGAACCAGGGGGTCCATAAAGTAAAATTCCTTTGGGTGGTTTAACACCAATTGATTTGAAAAGCTGAGGATGCCTTAGTGGCAACTCAACTAACTCACGGATCTGAGCCATCTGCTTCCTAACACCACCCACATCATCATAACCAACTTCATCCAATCTATCCTCATCCTCCCTTCTAAGAGGTTCACCCTCACAAAAAATTTCAGTGTCTGGTGCAACCACACAATACTCTCCTGGATCAGTCTCGATAACCTTGAATTCCACACTTCTCATGCCTCCTCTGACAAGGAACAGATCACCTTTCCTTACAGGGCGATAAGCCTCCAAGAAATAAGCTGAAAAACCAAGGCCAGCAGCAGCCACAAAAAAGTTAGATACCATAATGTTGAGATAATCCTCTAAGCAAGAAAAGCCAACATCTAAAAGACCACTAAGATCAGTCAGGCTAAGGACAGAAAGCAGCAAAAAGTTGCCAAGCAAACCAACATGAATGAAAGAAACCAGAAAAAATATACACAAACGTTTAAACAAGACATTTCAAAAACTCACGTTTCAGGAATGCATCAAATAGATTCCCAGTAATCCCTTCAATCGTATCATCTATTGGGAGAATGTGCACACGCTTCCCATACTTAACATCTGGGCACTGATGCACAGAAACAACATCACCGAGTCGAACTCTCAAATTTGACCTCACAACTTTGTTCATCCTGATCTTTGGCTGTTCACATGTTTCATCAGCAAGGGCAATGCAAATTGTATCTTTCCGTTTCTTTCCCTGTAGAATAAATTTCAAACCAAAAAAAAAGGAAGAAGCATGAAATAAGAAACAAAAACAACATCATAAAAAATCTAATCAAGATAAAATAAAAGGCACAAATTTAAAGCTTAGAATCAAGATCAAAACCTACTCTACATCTCCTGTGAACAATTGAACATACTTCAATTAAACTTTGAATTGAAGAGAGTCTACACACACTAATTTTGTGCATAAAACAATTTTTTTAACAACAGAAATCACGTTAAAATCCAATACCCTTGCTATATTTACACTGGATAATCTTACTCTTATTATTCAGAAATTTTCTAGAAAAATAAAATAAAATAAAATACAAACGAAACTGCCTGATTCCTGAACAGAAGATCACACATCCAAACAGTCTTCCAGCATCCATCACCAAAATAAGAGTACTAAACCGGAGAAAAAAAAAAAAAAGAGGGACCGAAACGAAACCCTAGCTCGAAATTGCGAGCCTAATCAATAATCGTCAACAGAATAACATCACAACTGAAATATAAACAATTTATCTAGGTATGCACCTTGATGAGCACAGTATCGCCACGAAAGAGCTGCAGTTTCTCCATGGTTTCAGGGTGCATGGCGACAACGGAGTTGTCGTCGTTGATCGCCTCATCCACGACTAGCCGATTTGGTGACTTCTTGCGCTCCAAAATCGCCGTCGAGTAATCTTTCTTACTCGATTTCCTGAATTCCCCCCCATCAAAATCAAAATAAAAAAAAAAAAAAATTAACAAACAGAATTCAGCTCTAACTGTAAACACCAAAACATCAAAAACAAAAATCGCAGGAAGAGAGAGAGAGAGAGCAGAGCATGAAGATTAAATCAGTGAGTTGACTCACGAGTCGGAGGAGGATTCTCCTTGGTGAGTCATGCTGCCGTGTTGCTAGTGCTAAATCGACGGATCCAAAGAGAGAGCGAGCTCAGAGGAGAAACAGTATGGTGTTGATAATGGCTCCCGAAGATATTTATTTATTTCAATGACGGGAATTTTTTTTTTTTTTTTTAATCTTGTTTCTCAAGAAAGAATAGG